AACCCACCAGCCGTTCCATGGGAGAAAGATGGGGCATTCTGCTTCCGTAAAGATCACAGCTTTGGACACCCTATGGGGGCATTTCTACTCTGTCCTACAGGGTCACTATGAGTTGGAACCAACTTGACGGGTTATGGGGTTATGATAAGGGCAGACGACACTAATTTCTGGCAAGTGATTAAAACTTAGCAGGTATTCAATAAACCTTAGTCACCCCTTCTTTGGAATGGTTCGTGAAAATGGGTAATAGAAAAGAACGTGCCTACTCCTAGGTACATACCCCAAAGAATCTAAAACAGGAGCTCAAAAAGATGCTTGTACACCAATGCTCGTTACAACATTATTCACAACAGCCAAAAGGTGGAAACAACCTAAGTGTTCATCAACAGATGAATGGATCAACAAAATGTTGTATATCCATACAGTGGAATATTATTCAGCCGTAAAAAGGAATGAAATTCTGATACATGCTACAACGTGGATGAACACTGCAAATACTATGTTAAGTGAAATATATAAAATATGCAGAATAGGTAAATGCATAAACCAAAAACCACTGCCACTGAGTTGATTCCAACTCATAGTGACCCTATAGGACAGAGCAGAGCTGCCCCATGGAGTTTCCAACGCTGTAATCTTTACAGAAGCAGACTGCCACAGCTTTCTCCCACGGAGCAGGCGGTGAGTTCAAACCTCCAACCTTTCAGTTAGCAGCCAAGTGCTTAACCACTGTGCCACTAGGGCTCCTTAGGCAAATGCATAGAGACCGAAAACAGATTAGAGGTTACCAGGGCTGGAGGGGTGTAGGAATGAAAAGTTACTGTTCAATAGGTACAGAGTTTCCGTTTAGGACGATGACGAAGTTCTCAGAATCATAGTGATGGTTATACAACATGTACTTAATGCCACCAAATTGTACACTTAAAAATGGGGAAAATGGTAAAAAAAAATAAATAAAAATTAACCTCATTAATTAAAATAGTAAGAAAAAAAATGTGCCAAAAAAGAGTGGAATGAAACTAATTTGCTCTGTAAACTCTTACCTAATGCACAATAAATTAAAAAAAAAAAAAAAAAGAGTGGAATGCCAAAAGAAAGTACTGGCTCTTCTTGGGTTCAAGTCCTGGCTCTACCACTTAATAGCTGTTACCTTGGGCAAGCTACCTCATTTCTCTATGCCTGCTTTCTCTTCTGAAAAATGGGGATTATATCACCTACTTCATGAGTATGCTCTATAGTGGGTGGTTTTTAAACTTGAGTGTCTATCTCCTAGGGGAACTTGAGAAAAATACACAGGCCCAGGTCCTGTCTTACTTCAACAAGCTTGGGCTTGTTTTTTAATTAGCTCTCCAAGTGAAGAAGACACTAAAGTTTGGGAACTGATGTAAGGTACCACTTATGATAGAATGCTACCCAAAAAGTTGACACAATACTCCAACTATAATATGACCAGTACAAAGTAAAAGGGCTAACACCTTCCTCCTTCTACATACTGTTCCATCAACTTAAAATTACATTTACTTTTTTAATTATACAAAAGAATTAACATTAAATGTACAATCAGTTAGATCAAGTCTCTTCCACATCCTCTATTTGTACATTAGTGTTTTAGAGTCTTAAATGCCAGCCTTTATGTCTATTCCTATTAAAAGGTAAGATAACTAGGGCTAAGAGTTTTAGATTTTGATTTCTAAATTTATCAATGGCCCTGCGAATAGATTTACCTTTAAGGGAGAAACCACTTCAAGCTTAAGCCTCTACACATACATCATGGACATACTTAGCCCAAATAAAGGTACACAAGTCCACCAACCACTGAACTGACAGCTGATTGCACCAAAACCTCTGTGCAGAGCACTGTTGTCAACACGATGAGGAAGCACAAAGCCCTAGTACTAACAGACTTACTTCTATAAAGCATGATGAAACAAACATCTTCAGAAAAGTATACTACTAGAGGTCCCAAGGTACACACATTAGTACTATAAAAACAAATTATTACTGTTGGAAAGCCATGGGGCCAAAGGAATGATACTCAGAAAACAAAACTGCCCCAGAACGTTTAAGATTTTGTTTGTCTGGGTTTGTTTCTTATACTTGCAAAGAGATGAAGCCCCTAAGTAACTTCATCCATGCTAGGGATACTGTAGCGGGGCACTGGTAAGGCCCTCATGCATTCTCAAAAATGGATCCATGATTCAAAATTTCATGTCATGATTTCTGAACTCCTATGCCCTGTTTGTGCAGCCCTGGCAGCACAGTGATTAAGTGCTACGGCTGTTAACCAAAAGGTCAGCAGTTTGAATCCACCAGCTGCTCCTTTGAAACCTGACGGGGCAGTTCTACTCTGTGCTATAGGGTCACCATGAGTCAGAATCGACTCGACAGCAACAGGTTTGTTTGTTTTAATGTCTTGTTTGCTTTACCTGTTATTATTTCTAAATGTACTCAAGGGCAAAAGAATAAAAAGTTCATTCTACTGGAGATAAAGCCCATTAAACACCTCAGTAATTCTAAAGACACCTTAGAGATGCAGGGGAGGGGGAGAGACAATCAAATAAAACAAACCAAGATCCAATTTGATATTTATTTTCATTTAAACAGCAAACTTTAAAAACACACCTGGCATTTTCTAACAATTACATGAAGAATGACCAGATGCTTCCTGTTGATGGAACAGCAGAGAAATACAGACTGACAGATTCCAATTAGAGTTCACAGAAACAACTGGGAATGAATTTAGCTTCCTCTCAAAACCATTAAACCAAAGTAAATATGGCTTAATGTTTCACACATCACAGTGTAATTGTCCCTACACCTAGAAAATCCAGATTAATTCAAGGAGACTGTTAACTCTAAGAGTACATACATGCATCAGTAAAAGTATTCTTTGTTTCACCAAAGGTTACACTGCATGATTCATTTTAAATCTGGAGCTCTTTTGGTGGTTTAGTGTCCCCTCTTCAAAAATTATATTCACACACAAGCTTTGAAAAGTACATCTAGTACAGGATTCATGTTTTACTTGTGTACATCATCAAAAATAACTAATTGAATTAAAATTAATCACTTAAAATATTTTCAAATGTTCCTGAGTTTCCAGGATCATATGCAGATTATGCATTCTTTATTCTTGATATTGTATATGCACCTAAATCCCAACTTTGAAAAAAGACAGGGCCCAAGAAAAAACGTATAGGAATCAACCTTCTTATCCCTACTTTTATTCTGTCTTACATAATATCTTAACATGACTTGTACCATGAGAACAAGACAGGAATGACACATTTGTCAGCTTAATTAAAAAAAAAAAAAAGTTATGAATGTACAATGGAGTTTTACAGCAGTTACATGGTATAATACCCCAACAGAGTAAATGCAGTAGATTTAAGAATCTGCTTTCTGTTAAACCAGTATTAAAGAGATTTGTGGAAGTGAGTTTGTTAATGAGAGACGAACAACTCAGGAGAGTGAGAATGGATGCACAACTCGAAGTATGTTATCAATGTCACTGAATTTTACATGTAGAAACTGTTGAATCAGTGTACGTTCTAGTGTGTATATGCTCAACAATAACAAAAGCAAAATAATTTATAAAAGAAATGTGCAGAAATGCAAAACAATGTCACTCTTCACTTACATGCCATTTAATGAATGAGTGAAAAAATAATAATAAAGCTGTCTTTAGTTTCCGTAAGTTCTGAGAGGAAGTGTCAAAGCTGATGGTTACATGTCAGTTAATAAAGCATCTGCAAAAAGAATTTCTGACCATTAACTTCTGCATAATAAATTATGGTGCATCTTTAACTGTGGGATGGCAAGCTCTTTTACAAGGATCTTTTACTATCTATTTCAAACCTTTTTCCAGACAAAAGACTGTACGTAACTTGCCTGAATCGACTCAGCAAATCAGTGTCCGGAGAGAGAACTTAAAATATTTGCCGATACCAAGCCCTCTTGAGGAGTATTGTGGTCTCGGCCCTTCCTTTGAACAGATGTCTGCTTCGCCACAGTTCAATCAGGTTTAAAGCAAGGATATGTGTACTGAAAGTAAGTTTACGTGGGAAAACACACACTAAGCAGGCCTATATCATTCCTTTGGTTTGTTTTCACAATGCACCCGGGAAGCTAGGCAGGCTGATTGAACAAGGTTGGGGCGCTTCAACGAAACACACGAAATACACAGATTAACTGTGCCCAGGCAGAAATGACCTGGCAAAATTCTTCTTTCCCGAAGCCGTGCACTCGCAGGTCCCGCAGCAAAGTCTCTAAGACGTTAAGTCCCGAGCATCCAGAAGGACAGGCTTCGTCCTCTCAGGGATCCGAGTCCCCATGACCGAGGCTGTCGTCGCACCGCCCCGCGCGGGACGGGCTGGGCTCCCCGTTAACCCTCTCTGGGCCGTCCGCTCCCGCCAGGGCCCAAGCGCCTCCCAGCCCCGCGGGCCCTGCAGCACTACCCGCCGGGGGCACGCCGCCCCTTCCCCGCGCCGGAGAGCCCGACGGGGACGTCAGGCCGCCCAGACAAAAGAGCAGGCGGCGCCGGGGGGCGATAAACGCCGAGTCTGGGCCGCGCCTGCCTCCTTCCCTCTTCCGCCCACCGCCCGCCTCCCAGCGCGAGCTGAGCCCCCGCAGCCCCGGAGCGATTCCGTCCCGGCCCTGCCTCTTGGGACGGTCCGGTAGGAAGCTGAGGGGAGGCCGCGGCGCGCCAGGGCCGAGGAGGGGGCGGCGGCCGCCACCATGTCTGCCGCCCCTCCCAGAAGCGCGGTGCCCAGCGGTCAAAGCACGGCGGCAGCGCGGGCGGAACCGGCGCCCAGGCCGACCCCGCCGACCCCCACGGAATAAGCGGGGCCAGGAGCCCCGGAAACCCGGCGCCTTAATGCAATAAACAGGAAATCGCGGGGATGATCTGGGTTCCGGGGGAAGTGGAATTATTTTTTACCAGCGAAGAGATCAACTTCCACATCCGGTGGTAACAGGGCCCTACACAGACCCGCACTGACCTGGAAAAGCTTCGGGAGCGGCAACGGGGGAGCAGCAGGAGGTGGTGCGGGGACCCGAGGCGCCTCGTACCCGGCCGGGCTGACGCTGCCCCGCTACACACAAAGCGCTTCAGCTGCACAGGGCGCTATTTTCCGAAAATGCCGCGTCTGGTCGGCGCCCAAAATCCCCACCGAAAAGTCCCCCGTGCTACGCGCGGAGGGACACATGGTGTGCGAGTGAGTCAAAGCTCCCAGCATCCCTCCCGGACCGGCCCTCTAAATCCCCTAGCCTCAGCCTTTTCCGCCCCTGCCCTCGTCAGCCGATCCTCACCCACCCACCCTTCGACCCCATTCTGGCGGGAGACAGGGGCGAGAGATGTGATTTTTCTTTTTAACGGAGGAGAGAAAACAAGTCAATTTTAGAGCTTAAACTACACAAAGAAACGGCGGAATGATCCGCTCTCCGCGACCGCAAGTCCCGGCTCGCCTGGCGCCTGCGCGGCAGCGGAGGTGGGAGCTGCGGCCCGCCATGTGCGCGGCGGGGCTACCGGGGCGACCGCGGCGTTTTCCCGCCGGTTTCTTCTGTGGGTAGGAGTTTGGGAACTCATGTGCGTGTGCTAACGGTCTCCGACATGACCGTTGAAAGACGGGGCATCCGGACTCCTTCGACCCTAAGCTTACCAACTGAACCGCCTAGCAGAATCTTGGGAGATCGGAAGGGCATCCAAGAGGCTAGGTTTGAACATAAAGCGGCCCTACATTTAACTAGGTCTACTGGAACGGGAGTCGCTATTGAGGTACAAGATGAGGAACGAAAGATATTCTTTCTCCACTTTTCATAAACTGAGCAGTCAGGTTTATGACGAGGATGTGCCTATTTCTGTAGGCTTTTTTTTTTAAACATGCACATGGTGTCTCATACTTCGTAAACCGTAATAATTGTTCCATTTGTCACTTCAGCAATAGGTTGAGATCTGTTTTTATGTGGCTAGAATGTCAAGATGTTTAAGTGTTGTGCTTTATTAAGAAAGCAAAATTTTATTTTGAAATGGTGATTCGCTTTGGTGAAAAACCTTACAGACTTAATTTACATGTATGATTTGCTGAGGAACCCAACACTGGTATTATTTTAACGGAGGAGCCTGGGAATGGCTTCCCAACCTGCTAACCATACAATTTTTTGGCATCTTATATTTAGGAGCTGGGAGTATCTGGAACAATGCCAAGAGTTTAATCCAGGAGAGCAGATGAGCTTAAATGAAATTCATATTATATTGCCCACTGATTTTGTGTGGCCTCAGATAAGTAATCTGTCTCCACTTACCCTTTTGTAATATGTAGTAAAGGTTTGTAGTCATTGTGTAACTTATTAAAGCATTATGCCTAAAATAGAAGCAAACTATAAATGACATAGGAGCACATATGTGGTTTCCTTTGATTTAATATTTTCTATAGCTTCAATTGGTAAACATTTGTTAAATTTTTTATGTCACATGCTTTTCTTTAACCTTGAGTTCATTTGAGTTAAAATTCAGCTAATGAGTGCTATAAACTCTTGCCCTCATGATGTTATGCTGTAGAACGTAGACAGGTCAATAGGCATCATCAGTAGTGTGAATGTGGTAAGCTGCTGAACAAAATCTCATAGAGTAGGAACCCCTTACTCACCTGATAAGTTAGGGGCAAAGGGAGGAATGGAGTGGGACTGGGGAAGCAATTAGGTTTTATAGAGGAGCTGGGGAAGGGCCTTTGAGACAGGAAGCAGTAAGTGCAAATGTTTTAAGAGGCAAGACACTAGGGACACTGTTGGGTGGAGAAGGCAATGCTGTTTCATTTCAGATGGGATGTAGAGATATAGTTTGTGTGAAGTCACGAAGGGTGCTAAATGCTGTGTGCAGGAATTTGCTTCTCAGAACCAATAGGAAGCGCATGAGAGATTTTAAACAGAGTGTCATAGGATTGGATTTGCATTTTAGAAAGAGCACAATTACACAAAGCTTGGAGGCAAGGTAAACCATTTAGAGAAAACACTAATGCAGAAGAGGGTAATGACATGCACTAAGTGGCAAATAAGAGTGAAGAAACACGGGCAAAGTGGATATGGAGAGCTTGGTGATTTGGTTGACTGGATGAGGAAATGACTGAGAGGAAAACATCAAAGATGATTCCTAAATATGTTGGTGGAGCAGCTCATACGATGCTAACGTCTTCACTGAGGTTAGAAACAAGGGAAAAGAACACAGCATGTTGGGTAGCAATAAGGTTCTGTTTCGGCCAAGTAGAATTTGAAGTGCCTGCGAGCCAACCAAGTAGATGTGTCTAGTAGGCACTTACCAATAGATGTTCATCCATTCAGCAGTTGTTTCAAGAGCACCCATACTGTGTCTGTCACTGTTCTGCACATTACTTACATAGTAGCAATAAAACAAACAGGATTTGCACTCCTGTTTGTATTGGAGGGAAACCAGACTATAAACAATTAAAAAAAAAAAGACCAGGAAAGATAATATCTTGTGATAAATTCCATGAAGAAAATAGAAGATGATTGAATAAAGTGTTTCTCTAGGGAAGAGAGCAGGCCCTTTTTTTTTTGTTTTGTTTTGTTTAAATTGTACTTTAGGTGAAGGTTTACAGAACAAATATTTTCTCATTAAACAGTCAGTACACATATTGTTTTATGACATTGGTTAACAGCCCCATGACATGTCAGCATGCTCCCTTCTCGCCCTTGTGGGAGCCCCCCCCTTTTCTTTTTTTTTGGTGAAAATATACATAGCCAAAGATGCACCATTTCAAAAATTTTTACATGTACAGTTCAGTTACGTTGATTACGTTCTTCCAGTTGTGCTGCTGTTCTCAGTTTAGATGAAGGTTTACAGAACAAAATAGTTTCTCATGAAACAGTACACATATTATGCTATGACAATGGTTAAGAACCCCAGTACATGTCAGTACTGTCCTTACTTGACCTTGGGTTCCCTATCACCAGCTTTCCTGTCCCCTTCTGCCTTCTAGTCATTGTCCTTGGACTGCTGTGCCTCATTAGTCCCGTTTTGTTTTATGGGCTGTCCAATCCCCGGCTGAACAGTGAACCTCAGGAGTGACTTCACCACTGAGCTAAAAGGGTGTCTGGGGGCAATACTCTCGGGGTTTCTCCGGTGTCTCTCGGGTCAGTAAATCTGGTCTTCTTTTGTGTGTTAGAATTTTGTTCTACATCCTTCTCCAGCTCTGTCCAGAACGCCCTATTGTGATCCCTGTCAGAGCAGTCAGTGGTAGCCAGGCACCAGCTAGCTGTACTGGACTCAGTCTGGTGGAGGCCTGTGGTCCATTAGTCCTTTGGACTGATCTTTTCCTTGTATCCTGTTCTCTTCATTCTCCCTTGCTCCCAAAGGGGTGAGACCAGTGGAGTATCTTAGATGGCTGCTTAGTCTTTTAAGACCCCAGATGCTACTCACCAAGGTAGTATGTAGAACAATGTCTTTATAAACTGTGTTATGCCAATTGAGCTAGATGTTCCTCGAGACCATGGTCCCCACAGCCCTCCGCCCAGCAATTCAGACCCTCAGCAGGCACATTTTTGGTGGTTGGTCAGACATGGCCTTACTGAGAAGGTATTCTCTAAGACCTGAGTAGAAATAAGTCAGGCAACGTGCCAGACCAAAGAGAATAGCAGGGCAAGTGCCCTAAAGTGAGGAGGAGTTTGTTGTGTGTTGTTGTTAGGTGGCGTTGAGTCAGTTCCGACTCACAGCAAAATGCTATGTACAACAGAGCGAAACACTGGCCGGGCCCGGGCCATCCTCAATCATCATCATGCTTGAGCCCATTGTTGCAGCCACTGTGTCAGTCCATCTCATTGAGGTTCTTCCTCTTTTTCTCTGACCCTCTACCAAGCATGATGTCCTTCTCTAGGGACTGATCCATCCTGATAACATGCCCAAAGTATGTGAGACGTAGTCTCGCCATCCTTGCTTCCAGTGAGCATTCTGGTTGTACTTCTTCCGAGACAGAGTTGTTTGTTCTTTTGGCAGTCCATGGTATATTCAACATTCTTCGCCAACACCACAATTCAAAGGCGTCAGTTCTTTGGTCTTCCCTATTCATTTGGCCAACTTTCATATGCATATGAGGGGACTGAAAATACCATGGCTCGGGTCAGGCGCATCTTAGTCTCAAGGTGACATTTTTGTTTTTCAACACTTTTAAAGAGGTTTTTTGCAGTAGATTAGCCCGATGCGATGTGCCTTTTGATTTCTTGACTGTTGCTTCCATGGGTGTTGATTGTGGATCCAAGTAAAATGAAATTCTTGACAACTTCAGTCTTTTCTCTGTTTATCATGATGTTGCTTATTGTTCCAGTTGTGTGGGTTTTTATTTTCTTTATGTTGAGGTGTAGTCCATACTGAAGGCCGCAGGGTCTTTGATCTTCATCAGTAAGTGCTTCAAATTTTCTTCACTTTCAGCAAGTAAGGTTGTATCATCTGCATAACACAGTTCGTTAATGAGTCTTCCTCCAGTCCTAATGCCCCGTTCTTCATATAGTCCAGTTTCTCAGGTTATTTGCTCAGCATACAGGTTAAATAGGTATGTTGAAAGAAAACAACCCTGACGTGCACCTTTCCTGACTTTAAACCACACAATATCCCCTTGTTCTGTTCGAACGACTGCCTCTTGATTTATGTACAGATTCCTCGTGAGTGCAATTAAGTGTTCTGGAATTCTCATTCTTTTAAATATTATCCATAATTTGTTATGATTCACACAGTTGAATGCCTTTGCGTAGTCAGTAAAACAGAGGTAAAAATCTTTCTGGTATTCCCTACTTTCAGCCGGGATCCATCCGACATCAGCAGTGATATCCCTGGTTCCACATCCTCTTCTGAATCCAGCGTGAATTTCTGTTAGTTTCCTCTTGATATACTGCTGCAGGCACTTTTGAATGATGTTCAGCAAAATTTTACTTGCATGTGATATTAATACTGTTGTGTTTAGGAAACAAAAAGAGGCCAGTGTGGCTGAAGACTAGTGAGCAAAGAAAGAAAGAAATGGTAGAAGAACTCCACAGCCTCGGTAAGAAGTTTTAAGTGCTATGGAAGCCATTGAAGCGTTTTAAGGAATGGAGTAGCATGGACTAGGATATAGCAGTAGAGATGGAGAAAGTGGATGGATGCAAGACGTATTTTGTGATTAGACCTGTCCAGTCCCTCAAACATGAATAGTGAAGGTAAGAGAGGAATCAAGATTGATTCATTCCTAGGTGTATTGGGCATGGTTATCTGGGCTTGTGTTGTACAGTAGGAACATAATGCAAGCCACATATGTAATTTTAAATTTTCTAGTAGCTATGGTAAGTAAGAAGAAACTGGTGAAATTAACTTCAGTATCCTTTATTTAATCTATCAATAAAATATCATTTCGCATGTGGTCAGTATAAAAATTATTAAATATTTTTAAGTGTTTTACATTCTTCATCTCATTACTGTTTGAAATTTAGTGTGTATTTTATACTTAAAGCACATCTCACTAATTGATTTGTATTTAGATTTCATAAAATACACGATTGAAAAAGATTGACATACTCAAGTCATTCTAAACCACCTTAAATATTTCCCAATAACTAAATCAAGTACATTTTTTAATTTAATTTTAAAGTAATTAAAGTTAAGATTAAAAATTCATTTCCTCAGTTCACTAGCCACATGTCAAGTGCTCAGTAGCCACATTCTAGTTGCTACCATATTGGACAGTGTAATGTAGTGGAGCAGAAGATAGTGGAAAGTCAGACAAAAATAAAACTTGTTTGGCATCAGCCTGGAAGGCACTGAATGACAGGTTAAAGAATTGGAATTTTACCTTAGAGATAAGGGGGTACAATGAAAGATTTCTGAGCGGGGAGTTAACACTGTCATGCTTAAGGCTAGTAAGAGGACACTAGGTGGCCAGTTAATCACTCAGGACTAAGGGTAATGCTTCAGTTGGGTCCCCATGGTCCAGGCACTGACTTCAGACCTGCAGATTTAGAAGTTTGACTTTTGTCAGTACTCTAGAGCAAAACCAGCAAAGATCCACAGGCTTCTGCCAGTCTCTGAACCCTTTGTTACTGATCTGTGACAAGTCATTTGCAGAAATTGAGAGTAAGAATTTAGAACTTCTATAGCAATTTAACAGAGTAGTTTTCTGTGTGGATCTAATAAAAATTTTGAGCTTGTATCATATGTCATTGTTTTTTATTTTTCTTTTCT